CATTTCGAGGGCTGCGTCGTGAGTGGACGCCGGCTACGATGGGGTAGAGAGAACAGGAACGAACAAGCCCTACTCGTTATCAGAGCATCTCAAGTCGGCAATGAAACTGCCAGCAGCGGGTTCGAGGGGCAAAGCGCAATTGTTTTGGCAGAACTACAGGACAGTCAGATGGCAGCCTTCCGGGGGGGGGGGGCGACACAACCAGGAGCGCGAGAGCAAGAGAATGGATGGGGCGTGGCAAGTATCCAAGAGCCGCTACCCTTTGTTCACAATGGGCAATCGATATTGAGCAGCAACTTACCGTGGGGAGTCGGTCAACCCCGCGGTAGGCTTCACACCCACTGGAGCAAGACCCAATAGATGGTCGAGTGGCAAGGTGTGGTAGCAGTCCAGAACAGCACACGTGCCCAGGATCGACACTGGGTGATCCTTTCTTGTCTGACAGGTAGGGCTGGAAGGACGTTCGCCGACAGCCTCGTGGCCTGGAAGGGGAGTCAAGGGAAGATGGAATTTGAATGACGGACAGACAGGAAATGCGACCGGCAGGGCCAGGAGGAAGAGCCGAGACGGCCTGGAAGAGCCTCTGGAAAGCATCGGCGTCGTGGGGGGAAGAGGGCTGCAAGAGCGCCCAGAGGAGAGGGACGCTGTCTATTCATCCGCTTGTCTGAGGGATGGTCAATGACAGTTTTGATTGGACCATAAAGCCAGATACGGCAGCGCCGAGGATGACACATCAGAGGCAAGTACGGACTGGAGGGCATGCTGCGAGGATATAGATTCTGTTTGGCGTCGGTCATCTTCGCCCATAATTCCGCTGGCTAACACGCGGTGCTAGGGGGGAGAAGGTGGTGGGGACCAACTGCAGGTTCGTGGCATGGATCATGGATACGTGGGATTGGGTCAAGTGGATGGGCAACTTGACCTTGCACAAGAGGCACAGCCGGCCGCTGGACGGTGAGATGTCGGACTGAAAAAGCCTAGTGCTGATTGGACTGCATACTTTGCATGTCCCTCTTGTCGAGCGTTGAAGCAGATCTACGCCTTGGGCTGTGGTCTCTACAGGGGGATAAACAGGTCACAGTCAGTCGGATTCCTATCCTCTTTGAGGATGGCCCGATTTTGTTGATCCCAGAGGCGGCCAGGTCCGGGGTACCGCCTCCTTCTTCATCCATTCTTCACGAAAGCTATTAGCCACCTTGGCCTGCAGCTTAACCCATCGGTGTGTGTGCAACGCAGTCTGCGCGAAGAATGTCTGCAGAGGAAGGCTGTTTGGGTTCAGTCTGCCAAGGTCAAGTCTTCGCTCGACGAGGAGTAAACATTCTCCAAACGGGAAGGTCGCGCTCTTCCTTTCGCCAGTACCTTGCATGCTACATGGGTTATGTCTACATGTGATGGAGCTTCTCTCCGAAGGTCCAGAGTACGAATCGCTTGCGTTTGAGCACATGTATGAAAGGCGGGCGAGAACATCATAGCCCGAAATAAGAAAGCACTGGAAGGCCAATCGATCACGGTAGCTCTTGCGCTATCATGCCGACTGTGATTCTCGTGTGAATTCGCCGGCCGAGCTAGGGTTGCATGTGGAATGCTGGAGATCATGTCTTGTGTTCCAACATCCTCAACAAGTAGGTGGCTATTTGGTGTCTCGCCGTGTCTCTGAACTGTCGCATGAGTACCGAAAAGTCGAGACGGCGGTTGTCCCCAGGCCTGAGCAGCCTCGGCGTTGGATTGGGAGCAATGGAGGCTGACATTGAAGAATTGGAATTTCAGAATACCAAGTGCAGATCAGTGGCGTACAAGACTGCGCCTGCTTCGATAGTTTGAGTAACAACACAAGCCGCGGTCCATGGAAGATTCGCTCTTCGGGTAGCCCGCTCGAGCTTGACCGACTGCGAGCCTGGTCTTGCAACCGCCAAGGATGCCATGCCGTGGTCGTCTGTCTGAAGGTCTACAGAGCAGGGCCAGCGGCCCGGCAGCGCAGATAATGGCCCAGACGACAAAAGAAAGAAGGAAAGAAAAAAAGTTCGGTTCGCCTGACTGGCGTTCCAAGCCCGCAGGTCGTTTACGGTTGTGGTAGTTCCCGCCGTTACTTCGTACAGTACGTCGCATGGGTGGATGGGCAGAGGGTGGTGTGCTGGCAGTGGCGGATGCAAGGGAGCGAACTGCGCGATGGCTGAAAAAGACAGTAAGGAGGGCTCCGAAAGGTACCGGTGCCCACGCTGCGCGACCTGAAGAGGGGAGCGGGGGCTGCGGGATGCACGCACGTCGTGACAGGGGAGCTCGGAGCTCTGCTACTATTTGATAATGCTGCCGTGTCGGGAGACGGGGCGACAGTATGCCAAGCCGAGAGGCAATGGTCAATGGCTTGTGGGTGTGCGGCGCGTGCTGTTCGGGCCCATGGATTGTGAGCTTGATCAAAGGTATAGCGGCAAGGCTCGGCCGTCATCGACGAGGTCCGAGGTCCAGGCAACAAGAGGTTATGATCATTCGCATTTTTGCATCATGGGCCTCCATCTGCTGAAGCCATTGCCGGGAGATGAGAGTGGAGCATAGCCGGCCACCGTCTCATCTTAGTCGAGGGCTCAGGCATTGTTGGCCCCAGGCAGTGTCTGTTGGTGATCTGGCCATGTAGAGAGAGATAGACGACGAGGCAGGGCAAGTTGGTCGAGTCGTTGGAAGAGGTTGGTGTCAAGGTGGGGTGAAGTGAACAAGGTGTGCCGGGGAGGGATAAGCAGGCTACACCGGATTAGGGCTAGCAGTGGGTTGGGATGACAGGTTCCACACGGGCCGCAGCCCTGGAAGCCCTGGAGCCTTGTGGGAGCGAAGCATCCACCAATGATGTACCTCTCTGTTGGGGGCTGCCCCGCCCGGCCGAGGGATTTTCCAGGCCTAGGCTTGTAGCCAAGTACCATGTACCCATCTCCTCCCGTGTCGGTGCTGTTCCTTCCCGCCCACCAACCTTAGATGTCGCTAGCCAACACCTTTGTTCGACGACATGGCCGGTTCACGGGCTATTGACACACACGTGCTTGTCGAAGAGGCCTCACCTGCTTTGTTGATCATGGAGAGCACGTCATGCCATTGTCGGCTCGCCTGGTCGACATGACCTTGTGGACTTTGTCGATTCTGGTGTTTCACGAAGCTCGTCCGCTGGTGCAAAGCTCAGCGAACTAGATTCCCTTTGACAACACCATCTCAGTCGCGCCACGATAGCTAGCTGCTTCTTATGGACGATCCGCGGGACACCCTCGACGGATGACACCCGAAGACACCACCCAGCCAGGGACAGTACCTGATCAGCCCCGATCAGCCCCCCGCAAGCCCCGACGCGCAAATGCCGCCTCTTCTCTCGTGTTTGGCCCGGCGGCTGATTTCATATACGAAGATGCGACTGATCTGTCGACACGTTCAACTCAATCAATGGTGGTGCTGTCGCTGGCCGCCGAGCCTTGCCCTTCATCGACTCGAGTTGGTGGTCTTCTTCATCGGCCGTGGTCTCTCTCGCCCACAGCCACGGCAGATATCCAGGACAACAGCCGACGGTTATTGTTGTTGGGTAGCAGGCGCTTCGCAGGCCCAGTCTCTGCCTCCGCGACCAGGGTCTGTCAACTATCACTGTCGATCATCCGCCGTACCCACCCAGCCTGGCGATTCTGGCACATTGATGGCCAGCATGTACGTACATGGAGAGACGCACTGCTCCAGCACAACCGCACAAGTGTCTGCCAAGGTGTACATCGGAGCCCGATAATTGACTGTTGTGCATCACCATTTGACTTACTCTCTCCATCATTCTCCTCGCTGTCACTCACTCTTCTCAGAACCAACCTCAACGCCCGACAGCGCACACACAATGAATGACTGGACCACGTAGTCGGCACTGCCCCCCAGCGGCGCCCTTGTGAAGGTCATACATGTACAGTAGCTGCGCCAACTGACGGCGGCTTCGTACCTCAGCCCTAGCTATAGACCTTGATCCCGACAATATGACGGGCACTGGTTCTGCCATTGGATGTTGTCGGTTGACAAACTCTTTACCAGGTCTTGTCAGCTCGATTCACCTGGATTTAGGTTTCCCTCGCAACGTCCCCTCGCACCCCGCAGCTTCGATCGGGCTGGGTTACGTTGTGAGGTACGCCGACAATCGCAGTATTATGCTCAGGGCCTGGTCTTCGTCATGCCACCACCGACAAGGGTGTGCATCCTAGTACGCGCATGCTGACTTGCGCGTACTGCACGATACCCCCATGATGCTGGGTTCCTCTTCGCAGCAGTTTTCCTGGGATAGCCTATGCCTCTATTTTTCTCCCTCTCCAGCCGGGCCTCAATCAAGCATGTCCATCTCAAGTTTGGTGGTATCGTTGCAATAGAGGCTGTATCCTTTTGCTTTCATTCATTTGTTGGGACTGAATGTCCACTATGTCAATGAGGTCAAGGCAGGCTGGCCTGCCAAGCTTCTAGATGCGATCGCATCCATGGGTCTTTGTTTGCACAAATCCACACTCGTCCACCCTCTTTTTCTTCCGGGCCGGGGGGGTGTCCCCGCCACCGGACGTTGTGCCCACTGGCTTACATGGGAAAGCTCGGCGGCGAAAGCTCACCCTTGTCGGGCATATTCCTTCGACCGCGCCAGGCAGGTCATGGGCAAGCTTGGTGTGCGTGGGAGCTCTGTGAGGCTGCCTTGGTCTCCAGCGTTCGCCTTCTCTCTTGCATCCAAAGCTCATGCCGAAGTATGCAGTATCCTTTTCCCACACCACACCTGCGAGCTGCCTTACATACATATGCCACCCGCAGGTAGCATTTTGCCCCCATCCCCCTTCCTGTTCCTCTTCTGCCCCCAACCTGCGCGCATCGGGCTCCTCAGAAGTTCAGCTTAGCTTCCTTCACTGCCTCCACACGCTCGTTAGCCAGCGTTCGTCTCGCTTTCCGGTATTGCATCCTTTGTTCAGCCTCAGTTGCTTTGCAGACAGAGCAAACATCGTTGGTGTCCAGGACAACTCGTGATGGTGTCTAAAAGCCAAGTGCTGGCCGTGGGGGCCTACGTCAGTCTTGCTCTGGCCCAGGCATCACCCTACGTCCCCAGCTGCGCGGCTCCAACAGTAACCGAGACCGTCTACGGCTGCTGCCCAGCTCCGTAAGTAAACCAACAAACTCAATCATCTGCAAGAGCTCGAATTAACTTGCCTTCAGCTCCACGGCTACTGTGACCGTTACTCAGACTGTCGTTGGGTGCTGTCAGCCCCCAGAAGCGTGAGTCTCGCGTCAACGCAAATCACGATTCCTTTTTGGAGATCTCATAAAGTAACACCCTCTTAGCTCGACTGTCAATGTCATCTCTACCGTCTATGTGACCGATATCGTGAGTGATATCTATACACAGGTCGTACCGACCACTGAGTGGGAGACGATATCCTACGCCGTGACTGTGACAGAGGCAGTGTAAGTACAGCGAGAAAATCATCAAATCGGGACGAACAAATTCACTGACAAATGTCATAGATGCACTGGACCTCCGCAGTCCGGATATCCGCCCATTGAGACGTACCCAGCCGAACCGTACCCTGTGCCTTCCGATGCTGAACCTTCTGCGCCGACCTACGGAGAGCCGCCAGCGCCGACGACGTACGCCGCAAGGCGCATCAGGGCGCCGCCCCCTGAGCTGCCCGATTGTGTGTACTACACAACGACCATCTGGGAGACAACCACTCAGCTCAGCACCCAGACTGTTCATCAGCCAACGACGTACTTCGAGACCGAGACGGTCGTGTCCGGGTCTGTGTCGACATATGTCACGACCTACACATATATCAGCGTGGTGCCCACGACAGTGGTGTCCGATCGCACAGAGTATGTGACGGAGACGTACATCAGCGTCTCGACCTTGACCGAAGAAGTGGATGTGACGGACTACCAGACCGTCACCAATACGGCCACGGCCACGGCTACTGCTACGCAGACACTGGTAGAGACTGAGGTCGTCACGCTCCCCGGCGAGGTTACGACTATCGCCGGAGAGGTGACAACACTTCCTGGACAAGTCACAACAATCCCCGGTGAGGTGACTACACTCCCTGGTCAGGTTACGACGCTGCCGGGCGAAACCATCACGACGACCATTACAGAAACAGGCCCGGAAACGACAGTCACAGTCACCGAGGACGGCGAAGTCATCATCTCGGTGGTTCCCGGTCCTACCTCTGTCATAACGACAACTGTAGTGCTCCCTCCCGTTACGGTCACTGACCGTCCTCCCGTGACGCCTTGCCCGGCGCCGACCAACATCCCAGGTGTCAACCCCGACATTCCTTACGATCCAAGTTCCAACCGCACTTGGGGGTGTGAACCTGGCTTCGTCTGCAACCCGCCCAAGCCCGAAGGCTGTAATTTGTGGGCCGATTCTCCCGCGAACGACTACGTCTGTCTGCCCAAGTACTGCATTCCCTCGCCGCATTATGCGCTCGCTACTTGGCCAGAAGGAGAAACGAGCTACTACCCGCCTAGTGAAGGCTACTTCAACCTCAACCCTAATGCTTTCGGCTTGCCCTTCTCCATCTTTGACTACGAAACGATTGTCAAGACGTGGAAGCACAAGACTTGGACCATTACCACGGGTAACTGGGCTTCGGCCACGGAGCTCTCTGTCTACCCTCCTCGGTCGCCAACGACAACAACGATTCCAGCATCTCCCCCGGCTTACGAAACACACGCTCATGGGTATGGGAAGCGTCAGAATGATGATGACGACGACGATGAGGATGACGGCACCACTGCTCCTGCCATCTGCTTTGATGACTGCAACAATTGCTATATTGAGGCTGAGGCCGTTGGCAAGTCGCCTCGCCTGTGTGCCTCCGACTCACAATTCCGCGCTGACTTGCTGACCTGCACCACCTGTATCGACGCCAACGCTGTAAACGGTGTACTGACTCGCCGTCTTTACGTGACACCCAAGTTTGGTCAGTTTCTCGACTATTGTGATAGTCAGGATCCCGACGAAGTCACCACGTCATCGATCGCGTCTCTGCCGCCGCAGCAGTCGGCCGTCGTGTCGAGCAGTGGGTCTGGTGACGATGTCACAACCACGTCGGCAGTAGCGGCGGAGTCCAATCCGTCGACGCAGCCCATCTCGTCTCCTTCGACATCAGAGGAGGTTTCTGCCACAAGCGATGCAGAGACAAGTACATTGACTGTTGTGACGACGACAATAACAACGACGAGTGAGCCTGTGGCTTCGGGTGTGTCCTCGGTGACAGAGACAGCCTCCCAAGCAGAGCCTGAGACGACCAGCTCTGCCGAGCCTAGTGAGAGTGTAGAGTCCAGCGCCGCTGCTGAGGGCAGCACCACTGTGACTGGGCCTTCAAGTGGTGCTGGAGCTTCCGGCTCGAGTCCTGCTGGGGAGTCTGGGAGTGCCTCTCAAACCGGTAGTGCTCCGGGCGTGTCGGAGACTGAAGAGGCTTCGCCGTCGGTTTCACCGTCTTCTGCCAGCGGCCAGCCCGACACGGGAGCTGGTGCATCGGAGTCAGGTGCTGCTGGGCCCAGCTCTGGTGCCTCTGGTGCTTCTGGTGCCCCTGGTGCTCCTGGTGCCTCTGGAAACGAGTCTGGCGTGCCCAGCACAACTTCAGGGGTTGCAACAGTACCAACGAACACGGATGGCGAACCGATTACGGTTCCCACTGCCGCGGCGAACCGCCTAGGCAGTGGTGCCCTTGCGGCAGCTGTGCCTTTTTTGGTGATGATGCTTGTTTGATCGGATCGCGTATTTTCCTTCTCACTTTGAATACCCCTTTATTTTCGACGTAATGCTTCACGACCCTCCTTATTGATAACGACCTCGACAGCGACACGACCACGGATTCCACAACACTCTTTTGACACGGCGGGTTCATGGATATATGAATGGAACGGGAACCATGATACCCCTTTTGCACTCTTTTGGAAACGGAAACATGATGAATCTGTCGGCGCGCTGTTTGAGGCTGTCGGACCGCCCAATAGCTTGGAAAGCTTGCCTTGTGCTCGGTCCAGGTTTACAGGATTGTTTTGGACCACGGAAAACTTTTATGCTTGGATAGAACTGAATTTCCTTGCCAGGTGATAGCCCTGGCTTGGTGCCCTGATTTAATGGAGATGATTGACAACTGATAATGCCCCCCAATGATCACGCGCGGCTTCGAGGAGGTGTATTGAAAGCGAGGATTTGCTGTCCTAGCAACTCGGCATTGAGCATCCACCGTTCAGGCTTTTTCCGTTCTCTTGTCTTGCTGAGATGCTGCCAACAAAGTAAACCAGACGACAACACATGTTCGAGTTGATCCTAGACCGAATCCGTCGGATTCACCCAGGATTGTGCTCTGTTGGTTGTCGATCACAAAGACCAACAACAAAGCCCCAACATTGACAGTCGAGCTGGCCGCTCGGAGAAGGCGCCACGAACCACGAGCTGCGCCATATCCTTTGTTGTACCCAGTGTCTGCGTCTGAATGACATGTCCGAGGAATGGAGCTGTGGTAGATATTACAGACTTCTTTATAGAAGCTTGCTCGCTGTGACATGTTATCATGTCTGATCGTCTGCTGATGGCTCACAGTTGCAATCAAAAATTCAGAAGTACAACAGTCGTTCCACTGTTGTCGCTTGATCAATTCACGAAAGTGACCATTACCGACGGTAGACGCAGACACCTTACAGGAACATTACAGAACTTGGCTGATTGACTAGCCCACCATGGCCCACAAGTCTTTGGCAAGAATACTTCCAGATCGCGATCTGGAATACGCCTACGCTAGCTACGACCAGAACGACAGACTGCAGCTGGACAAGACGGCCACAACCAATCCCAACGACGAACGCCAGGTTCACCGGCCCGAGAGAAAGAATGAAAGCCGCCGCAAAAAGAGCAGCAGCGGTGACCAACCCGTCGACAGCCAGGACATCACCACCACCACCAGCGAGGCCCAGCTGACGGGGCGGACAGTACCCCGCGCCTACCCACCTTGCGACGCCTGCGTCACGCGCGGCCGGAGCTGCTCGCAGTACCGGCCCTGCGCATCGTGCCACGGCGCCGGCGACACGTGCAGCGACTCGCGCGCCCTGCACGCGCTCGGCAACCTCGAGCCACCGGGCCGAAAGCGCAAGCTCGGCGGCCTCACGGACGAGCAGGGCCGACCCATCAAGCGCGGCCGCATGGAAGTCCTCAAGGGTCCCTGCGCGTCGTGCGCCGCGGTGCCGTGCGATGCCGACCACAGGCTGCGCATCGAGTGCACGGCGTGCGCCGACGTGCGCGCCGTCCGCGATCCGGACCACAAGTGCGTCGTCGCCGAGACGGCCGTGTACATGCCCAAACGCAGCCGGTGGACGCGCGCCCCGTACAGCAACATTGCGCAGGTCGTGCATTGGGGGTGCGAGGGGTGTCGCGGACGGTCGTACCGGCGGTGCGATGTCGACCCGCGCGTTGAAGTCGGCTGCACCGAGTGCGCCGTGCGCGGCCACGAGTGCCGCTTCATGCCGGACAGAAGGGAGCCGGAGGACGTCAAGACGCTGTGGCGGCGACCGCTGAAGGCCGAGTTTGAGCGCAATCCTGGCCCGGCTTGGTGGCGGCGGCGGTGCGGGCGATGCGCAGCGCGGGGCCTCAACTGCTCGTGGCTGGCCGACTACCGCAACATTGGCTTCAAGTGCCAGAACTGCGTCGACGAGCAGAGCAAGGAGAGATTCAAGGTGCCGGATGCCGTCGTCGAGTGTTTCGACGCCGAGGACGGGTACACGTTGTGCCTCCGGGAGATGGAAAACGTGCGGGACGATGGGAGCCTCGTGCTGCCGACCAAGATTGTGAACCGAAAGGTGCCGTGCTCGCTGTGTCGCCGCGGTGGCAGCCGTCAAACGTGTCGCGAATACGAAGGCCTGGGCGACGTCGCATGCGTGCGATGCAACACGTGGGGGTTGCCCTGCTACGACAAGGCCGACGAGTCGGTACACCCGTCGGGGGATGCGGACCACTCTGGCGAGTTCCTCAAGCCAAAGCCGTACGCAGATTTGCAGGTCATCGGCTGGGGCTCCGGCACGAGGACCATGATGGAATATACTGTCTGCAAGCCGTGTGAGGCGGGCGACCACAACTGCGACAGACAGCGACCTTGCGACAAGTGTGTCGAACGCGGCGATACACAGCAGTGCACCTTTATCCCAAGGGTCAAGGACATGCCGGCGGGCCTCTTCCGGCGCTCCGCATTCCCAGTTACTGGCGTGGTGCCAAAGATCTCCATGCTGCCGCCGTCCTACTACATGGCTCTCGGCTTTGGCCCGTTCGGGGTGGATGATGACCGGGTCGGGCCGGTGCGGGGCATCGGCGTCCCGGGTCCGCAGTGGGGCATGTGGCAGGTCCGGGTTTCGGACCCGGATGAATCCAATACGGCCACCAACAACCGGCCCGAAACCCGGAAACTCGTGCGCCGCGGCAATCGGGCTATTCCGCCCCGGAAACTTGGTGATACTAGCGAGCAGCCACCCTCCAAGGACGATCCTCCGAAAGACAAGCAGCAAGACCAACGCATACCCCAACCCCAACCAAAGGTTAAGAGGCAGAGTGAGCCTCCTGTTGTTCTTGGACCCCAGGGCTACCCCGTGTATCCCGAGGTGAAAGAACAAGAAAACGAAGACATCATCATGTATGATGGGTCCTTTGCTTTCGACAACGACCTCGACAACGACGACGAATTGATGGCCATTCTCCACAACGACTACCCCGTTTTTGAGCCTTGCCCACTACCCACAGAGGAGGACCTCGACGATGCCGCCATCTTGGCCGAGCTCAGCTCTCTGTTTGATCCATCATCTAGCTTTCCCAAGGCTTACCTTGGCGAGAATGCGTTGCCGCCCGTCGATGGTGAGCTGGACGGGCTGTGGCTCGTCCCGCCCCCCGAGCGCGTCCTCCTGACGCTCCAGTCCCAAGATGTCAGCGCCGTGGCTCGCCATCCCTGGGCCGCTGCCGAGGACCCTACCAGACGTGACGACCGCGCAAACCACCTCCTGGCAAGGTGGCAGCGTCCTTCCGGCACAAACATCCTCGCCGCCATTCCCGACGAGCAAGACGTCTTCTCGCCAGACCTCCAGAACCCCTGTCCTCCCTGCCGCGAGCCCACGAGGCCCGGCGACACGACGCAGACCTGCCAAACGCCCTGCCCCGACCAGAACGCCGTCTGCGCATCCCGCCACCACCTCTTTGACCCAGCCGGCCCCCGTCCCGTCTGCGCAGCCTGCGACACGCGCTCCGTGACCGACACGCTCCACGGCCCGAACCGCCTCACGGGCGCCGACATCCTCTCGCTGCGCACCTACACCTGCTCCCACTGCACGAGCGCCGAGGTCCAGACCACCGGCGGCGGCGCCATCGCCGACAGCAGCAACACGACCACCATCGCCCGCGGCGCCCAGCACCCGCTGACGGGCTGCCTCTGCGGCACGAAGCTCCTCGGCCGCCCGCTCTGCGCCGCCCACCGCGCCGCCCTCGCCGCGCGCGCCGTCATCCAGGCGGCCCTCGTGCGCGAGTGGCAGGTCGTCAACTTTGCGCCGGACCAGTGCGTCTTCTGCAAGGCCCGAGGCGGCGGCACGTCGGCCACTATGCCGGGCCGCGACACACCGAGCGTGTTCCACTGCAGCGTGTGCGCGCGGGTCGTCGAGGACGGGGGCCGCATGCCGACGCTGTTTCCGGGGTTCGAGGGCTGGGCCGCCGGCGCCGGGGCAGCGGCGTTTCGGGCCAACGAGGGGACGCCGGTGCCGGCGAGGGTGCCGGCTTGGGGGGCTGGGGCGCGGGGTGCGGGTCGGTAGATGCGGTGAAGCGGCGACAAGCGTCGAGGTGAGACCTGCAGAGGTGGAAGGTACTATTGATTCTCGTTCCGCGGTTTCGTTGTAGTAGCAGTAGCGATGCCGTGTCTTGCTTCACCAGTCGCGGGAAACCGAAGGCATCTCGCGGGACAGGGGACAGGCGGCTGCGGGCATTCCGAGTCATGGGCAATGCGGTTTGCCACATGAGATGAATAAATCCGAGCATGTACTCATCCTCTGCCGCGAACATGTTCCTCACGCGGAACGGCTGTCGTCGTTGCGTCGACCCAGAAAGTCACCCTTGGACACCCGCCGTGGCGACTACATGATGCATTTCCTCCCCTTTCCCAGCTCCGTCCAACCCGCCCCCTGAGCGCCCCCTCGCCGCACGTTCCTGTCAGGTACCGTCCGTTGCTGACCACCGTTCATGCAAGCCCCAACGACGCAAGGCAACGTCATACCCCTGAGACAAGAATAGTGTTCTTCGCCGCCGCCGCCGCCGCCGCCGCCACAGCCGCAAATCACCATTCAGCCCACGCGCGCAGAAGTCTTGCTGTCGTTTCTTCTGTACGAACCCATGATCGTCCTTTCCCAATCTTCCGGAACGGAAAAGAAGCGTGACAGAGACAGAGACAGAGACACAGAGAGAGCGAAAGACGCCTGGAAAACCCCCATCATGGTGCTGGTGGCAAAAGTCCGCAACCCCCCTTTTCCCAGCACATCGCCTTTCTGGAAAATCCAGAAAAGTCCATGCCCAAAGAACCGAATCCCATGCACGAGAACACGCCCCCCTCCTCGTGGAACAAACATGACTCCTCAGCCACCAAAAACACACGACTCGTGGCACGCCACCGAAGAACGGGGGCAAAAAAAAAAAGATCAACAACTGTGCCGCGAAAAGGGGGGCGCAGAGAGCAGAGAGACTGGTCACATGCAAGACGCAAGGGATGGACACGCGGCCACTGTCGAAAGATGGACACACCGGACGAAGGGATAGCACGAAACATCAACACTAGAGCAGAGAGAAAGAAACAAGAGGGTTTTCTGACCTGACGAATAAATGACCGACTAGACTGACTATTGTTGGACGACGACGACACCACCATTACTTCCACTACAAACACCGAGGATAGCCATCTTTCAAGAATGGAACGAGAGAAGGGGGATTGGTATGGGGAAGTGGAAAAGAAAGAAAAGAATTACAGGAAGCTAAGGTGGGTGATAAGTGAGTGGGAGGGAGGGACACAACACGAAGAAGAAAAGAGAATGGAAGAAATGGAAAAAAAAACAGCCAGGTACCTCACATACCCAGAGAAAACAGACGTGAAAGAAGAAGAAATGAAAAAGAAAAGAATCAACATGGTCAAGCTTTCTCTCTCTCTCTCCCCCCTCTCTGCTTCTCCCCCTTCCCCTCTCTCTCAGGATGGCCCGTCTAGGTACGCTATCGCTTCCCCGCCAGCATCCCTTCTTCCCGTCCTTGCTTTGCCTGCCTGGCCCACGATGGGATCTCTCACACAGGCGTGTCATGTGTCTGCGTCCAAAAAATAAGTCTTTGTCCGTATCCGTGTCCGTGTCTGTGTCTGCGTCCCGTCTGCCCCTTGCGGGTCCATGTAGCAAGTAAGCAAGCAACCAAGCAAGACGAAAGCGTCTCTGTATCAAGTAGCCCGCGTAGACCAACCAGCCCAAACACGCATCTGCGTCAAGTCAGAACAGAAACCGACTCCCCTTCCCATGCAACAGAAAGAAACGGATATTTTCTTGCAACTGCGACTGCGTCTGTCTGCCGTGACCGCGCCCGAGCATACACCGACCGTGGCAAGAGGGTATCTCGGGTTCCGCCGTGGTGGATCGCACAGCGTCCGCGCGGGCAGTCCCGAGCGGCCCGAACATCCACCACAAAGCGTTCTTGCTCCACGTCTTTCGTGCCTCCTCTGCTGGGGCCCTCCTCGGCACAGGCGCTTTCGCCACTTCCCTCCTCCCTTGCCCCCCTCACTGCGCTCCGACTCGGCCTCTTCGTGGCCTCGAGGTGACGCAGAGACCCTCTTACATTAGCACGCACTTCGCGCAGCAGCCTGCCTCCTGTTCGCCATTGTCCATGTCCATGGGCTTCGGCGGCCCGTTGGTGCCAGAGTTGCCACCACTGCCGGTTGAGTATCCCTGCATCTCGCGGTTGTATCGTCGAATCTCGCGCACAATGTCGTAAAACGCCTTGTCGACATTGATCCGGGACTTTGCCGATGTCTCGATGAACTTGCAGCCGAACGACTTGGCGAGTGCCTCGCCCTCTGTTGGAACGCCTCGTCAGTACAACTCCAAGTCTTGTCCGGACAGCCTCACATACCCTGCCTCGTGACTTCGCGCTCGCCTTCGAGATCGCACTTGTTGCCGACGACGACCATGGGGAAGTAGTCCTTGTCCTTCACGCGCAGGATCTGTTGCTGGAATGTCGTGATTTCCTCAAAGCTCTGCCTTGAGGTGATGGAGTAAACCAGCAGAAAGCCCTCGCCCGTGCGCATGTACTGCTCCCGCATGGCAGAGTATTCCTCCTGGCCAGCCGTGTCAAGAACATCAAGGAGCGCGACCTCCTCATCGATGACGCACTGCTTGCGGTAGGAATCTGTGGTTCATCGTGTCAGTACGATAGGTTCGCTCCCCACAGCTCCATTGCGAAGCGTCGGCGGCCGAGTAAATTGAACGAACCTTCGATCGTCGGGTCATATTCGTCGACAAAGTGGCTCTGGATCAACTGGATAGTCAAGCAAGATTTACCGACGCCGCCACCACCAACTACGACCAGCTTGTATTCTCTGAGAAACTGCGGTGCACAACAGCATGTCAGTGATGCGAACCTTGGACCGGGATGAGGAGAGCTAGCGATGCGGTTGTGTCATCGAGCGGGATGGCTGCGTTGAGGCAGACGCAATGGAGACGCACCTTGGAAGCCATTGTGCTGATTGGCGACAACTACTCGCGAAACAATGCAGGGCGTTTGCGGTGTCGCAGTGGAGGGCAAAGACAACAGGACGAGGCGGAAGAGAGAGAACTCGCGTGAGGGCGAGGTCAAGTGTACGTTCGTTGCCGTGAGTGTGAGAGAGAAGAAAAAATAGAGAGGTACGAGGTGGATGGCGAAGAGGTCCCGGGGGGGGGGGGGGGGCGAGAAGTGCGTGATGGGTCTCGGCGGCAGGGGAATGAATCGCTCGTCTCGTCGAAAGGCAGAATTGGTCGAGATCGTGGCGACAGAGAGGGGCGTTCTCGGAGCCGAGTCGATTCGATTCGAATGGATGGAATTCGAGAGGATACGACAACAGAGGGCAGGACAAGGTGTCGTGTCAATGTGAAGTCGAGTGTTGGTAAGGTAAAGGGAGATCAGACCAGACCAAGAAGAGGAGAGGAGAGGAAGGAGAACGGGCTTGTCTTGTTCGGCAAGGTAGGTAGGTACCCAGTAAAAGCACGGGCGACTAGGAGACAAGGAAGGTAGGTAGGGGGGATGGGATGGATGGGAAGGGGAAGGAAAACGAGGTAGGTACCTTACAGTGTACAGTGCAGATGAAATGGGGGGGGGTGGGAAGGGGTGGATAGCGTAGACCAAGAGCAGAAGCCAGCAACCAGCAACCAGGAGCAACGGCAGCGGTCGAAGCACCCAGGACCCGGCCAGCAACAGTGGGGAAAAGGGGAGGGGGGCGGATTGGGCAAAAAGAGTGGAGATGGGATGGGGTAAATGGAACGGGTCGCTCCTGGCTTGGGCTTGGGGCTTGGGCTTTTGGGTGTGGGAGTGGTAGTGAGAGTGGGAGTGGAAAGCGGGCATGTGCTCGGGCGTGCCTGCTCTCTCCCCCCCCCCCTTCTTCCTCTCCAGCAGGTATTGAGTTCTAGTGATCTTAGGTACCTAGGTAGTGTGCTGTGCTTCGGGCTGGACCTCCTACCTTGGCTGATTTTGGTTGCTGGCTGAGGTTCTGTTTCTGCGTGCCGTGAAGGGATTAGCGCCGAGATGCGCGATCGACAGCGACGAGCTAGGAAGGCTCGAACGAGTCTAATTGGCGATGCAAGCACTTTCCTGGCCATGGCGACTAGTTTAGCCTTGGCCAGTTCTGGTAGTCCCCCAGTTTGGCTGGCTGTCTGAACAAGCTCCCAGCACGCCGTTCATGTCGGCTCTGTCAGCAGAGATGGATGCTCGATGGCCAGTATGCAGATGCAATGCAGGTAGGTTCATGTTCATCACAGCGAGGGCGTTGGCTCGTGCAGCGCTACAGCACGACCGCAGTTCGTTCGTGGCAAGACCACCCGTCGAGGCCCTGCATGTCCGCCATGGCGGCACAGTGTGGACCCACCGACTCTGTAAAGGCCTGTGCGACATCGCCATTGGTTGGCAGTGCGCCCTCCATTTCCGCAATGGCCCACATTGAAGGTAGGTACCTCATGGTGAGCAGTGGTTGCGCCCTCATGTCCTGTCCCTGTAGTGGCCCTGCCGTCCTGCCTGCCTCGACCGACACGAGTTCGGGTTGGGTGCAGCCCATTGAAGCGTTCAGCAACCAACCGCAATACCAGAGGGGAGGTACCTGTCTGAGGTGGGTGTTGAAAGTCACCTACACCCAGCGCTGATGAACTTGTCTAACGCAGGTTTCGCCCGCTGGTAATGTCTCGGCTGTGCGACGGTGAGCGCGTTGTACCGCCGAAATATCCATCAGACCCTCCAGCCACAACACGAGTTGCTGGCCTGTCGTTAACCGCCCCCTTCCTGTTGTGCTCCTGGCATCTCGCGTGGGAAATGGCATCCTCTAGTCTCCAGATTCTTTCCGAGCCGTCCTACCAGTAGGATCAAAGAGTCAGGAGCAACTGGATGGACACTGATGCACCCTGGGCAGGTCCTCTCATTTTTTTCTGTCTGGCGAGGAGAGGACTAATGCAGAGAGCTCTGACCACCCGTGCTCAGGGTCGAGCGCAATTCTACACACTGTCTCCTGCACGGTACGCCTCCGTGGACCTGCACCTGCCTCTGCGCTACCTAGGTGCCTACCTACCTACCAGGTAGGCTTGCTGGGGTACCCAAGGTAGGTATCACTTCTATACACAGCCAATGTAGGGGAAATCGGAACCGAACTGCCGTGAACACAATCACCACGCCAAACACAACACCGAGGCATTGACGCGGTACAATCCTCCTTCTAGTGGTTTTCCATCACGGCTATTGATCGCGACCAAGCGTGAAAACGACATTGGCTCTGAGGCCATGACCAGCACATTGTCCGCGTCGTTGCCAATGTCAAACGCATAGCCGAGGTCTTGCGGCTTCAAATCTTCGACCTTCCACTGCGAAGTCAACGGCGAAGTGAACAAGCCGACAGCAGACCTTGATCTGTACCCGGGGAAAAAAACTTGTCCCATGAAAAATCACAAATCCACTCCAACGTGTTATCTCGTCTGGCGCAAACGCCCAAAAAAAAACCACAGAGCCGCCACACAAACTAAGGTCCTGGAAACCTCCAAAGCCAGATCCAGACCTAGGCCACATGCTTGCTTGTAAAGATGATACCATCCCAGACCTTTTCTCTTAATTCTATCTGCCTGGTCCCCAGAAACTTAACAATCAACCTGGTAGCTGCGTTGAGCGTCAACCATGTTTGCTCTGGATGGCCTGAGCATCATACTGGCTCAAATACAAAGAGGAGAGGCGAATGGGAAACGTGCTTTACACGGCCCTGGTCTCCCGCCGGTCCTATTCATTGGCCTGGCTGACGTTTGGTATCGAACGCCAACGACCGTTTGGCTGGTCCGGCGGTCGTAATTTCGCACATGCACTCATCATGTACCCCAGGTCGCCCAGGCGGCGGGCCTGCACGTTGACGGGGCCCTCATTACATGCACGCTGCGACTCCGCCGGGGCCGAAGCCCAATACAGTTCTCAGGCCCTTTTGGCGGGATCTCCAGATGTGCCAATGTTCAAAAGTACCGACACGAGAGGTTTGGAGCTAGACACGCCCGTCAATGTAACTCAAGCCAGCTGTGGTCGTCTATCTATCTGGGACTGTGACAGGAGGCCAGGCCAAAATTCTGATCAGTGAAGAAGACGTCTCCTCACGCGTCACTCCTCGGCGCGGCTATTCATCACCACCAGTTCAGACTCTGTTTCCGAAATCTGTGGCATGATTCGCGGGACAACAGACCCTGAGACTTCCCCCCTGTTCATCATCTTACACCTTGCCGTACGTCTTAACCTCTGCGTCGCTCATTATCGTTCTTTTCCGCAACTTCCACGCCGATCACATCGGGTCCGGTCATTGCTAGTGACACGTATCGGTCGATCTACGGCCTGTCTTGCGCTTTGGTCTCTCCTCTCTCCCCTCCTTTCAGCCAAGCCAGCAGGATCGTGGTCAGCTTGCTGGGAGGGACGAGCGTATCTTGCCAACCACCAGATGACAGCAACCCTGAGCTGACTTAACAATCGGGCGGGGTGGATGGTAATGCACGCACGACACCATGCTGGCGCAAGGTGCAGGATCGCCCTGTAACTGCGGCGCCCAGAATTGTGTTTCTTCTTACTCCCCACCGCCGCTGCCTTCTCAATTGCGCAACTGGCGCCACTAGTGTGCTGAAGCAGGATGATGCTGACACCCGCTCGGGCTTTGAGGCACCATCCCCGCGCTACAACTGTCAGCCGGTAGTTGATCTCGGTTTATGTTTAGGTTTCCCATCGCAGGGGCCAACGTGTTCTCGAGTTGTGGCTTCGGTACGACCCGGCTCAGTCCATCACGGCGGGCCAGGCGGCACAGACTGCGCGATGCTTTGTGGTTTCGAGAACGGATGCCCTTCAATTTTTGGGTGTCTGTTCTGGCCGTCAGCAAAGGTCAAGGGCATAAGAGCATGCCGCATGCTCCTTCTGGAAGTAAGGGATATGAACAGGCAAGAAGATGAAGGGTCTGACAGGATGCAGAAGACGTTCATTCTTTGCTCAATGTCCAGGTCTTTAAGTTTTGGTATGAAGAACTGGATGTTTCAGCTATGAATTTTGACGTTTTTGGCGGATGAAGCGGAATAAAGGTCTGCATTATGGTGTCTCGGGGGCTGGAACAGTTCCTAGATGGTGGAGGGAGACGTAATGAGGCAGCTCTCAACCACTTTGATGGTAACCCTCAACGCACAGCCCCGTACGGCTGAGCACTGGTGGAACCCATCGTATCGTGTTGACGGTGCCGAAAGTTTCTTTCACAAGTGCCCGACGATGACCAGTTGCTGCCTCGTCATATGCAGTAAGCTTCGCGGTATATCATGCCTGAGATTGAATGATACAGGCTCTGAGGTTCGCCGCATTACCGCCATGGACGCGACGCGCGAGAGCCATGTTATCTTGGTTAAATTCGTCACCTCAACAAGGAGAGAACAAGTCAAGAGAATCAAAGTCAAGCCAGCATCGCTATATGCAAGACGCCGCGGAAGCCCGTTGGAAGATAGTGCCGTAGCGGCGCGACAAAAGTTGCGACGCGGTAGACAACGGCATCATCTTCTGACATGAACCGTCGCCCTTGCTGCACCCTGGATCCTAGCACATGTCACAAGCAGGAGAGCGCACGTCAGGGCTTTGCTCCGCTTGATGCGACAGTGCGTATGGCAGAACAACAGTTGGTATTTGTGTGTTTCCGACCACATATAGCCCAGAGTTTTGACGACTAACCCGGATGTAACCCCGCGCTGGAGACCATGGTAGCGATCAAAGTTGCGGTCCCACCTGTTAACCAAGCTTTGAATGTTTACCGCACCATACGCCCAACACGGTAGCTTTCGCACACAACTGCTTCGAGGTCGCACGAGCCGGCCAAAGACTGCTCCAGAATACGCTCCAAAGGCTCGTCCCCCCATCTTGAAGGCAGAGCGCGTCATTAGCAAGACCGATCCTAAGACGTCCAGACGACCGTGATTGGTATTACGATGGAAACACAACCCCAGAGCCTGAGGCTCGCTTAGAGACCCCATTCAATGCTACCATCCAGGGTGGGGCATGAACTGATCCTCGCCATGATTTGCATTTGCGCAATTCAAAACTCGCCCCGTCCTGGCATGAGGTTGCCAGCCTCCAGTCGCCAGTCGGGCGGAAACGGGGAACGAGGTTCCAGTCTTGATGACAATGATCGAGGCCCCAAATCAAGCAAAGCTCCAAGCCCACAGTGTGTTTTGCTTTTCGCGCACGAAGGACGGCCAAGGTACCACGAAGGTTGATCTCAAAAGGGAAGACGGCCAGGAAGGGAGAGGTGGGTAGTAGACGGAGGGGGCCAGCAAAATGTCCAAGGCATGCCACACCATCGCCCACGCTGCTAGCCATTTCTGAAACGCTTCCAATCTGCAGATCGATGGCTTATCACCTCCGCTAGGGACGTTTCTGGACTGCCTCGTCTTTTCTAGAAGTTGTGGAAATCGAAACCTGCCTGCTGAATGGCTCCCTCAGGGGATCGTCAATGCCTGCATCGACCAGGGGGGGGCCAGTTGGGTTGCGTTGTTGTGGTGGGCGAGAAGCCATGTCCGAGCTTTGACGACATCTCATCTTGCTAATCGCGAACGTGGGGTCCATGAATGATGTCCTGAGAAAGACGAATCGCGCACTCCACGTGTGTTGTGATAAGCGGCCACCTGAGAGAAAACCACCACGCGCGCGCGTGGGGTTGTCTTCGCCTTCTTTTTTCTTCTTCTTGCTTCTCTGTCTGCTGATACTCCTCATGATGATAGGGGTCGCGCGCGTGACAATGTCACGGATGGTGACAGACCGTGAGAAAGTTGCGTGGTGTAAGAGGGGGAGGGGGGGCGGCGGCGCCGACACGGGTTCTCGGCGCCAGGCTCGCCTCAGTGGGGGGGGATGGTAATCTCCTTTTTCTTCGACCCCCTTTGCTAAGATCTCTCAAAAGAGAAGCTCGCCAATTTGGTGCCGTGCCTGGTCCATTTCTCCGAAGAAACATCACGAACGGTGCCATGCAGCTGAGATGACGGGGTTGCACTCGGACGATTGGAGACGACAGAGGACGGCCTGTCTTCCCTGATGAGCGGGCCCCGTCGCAGCTGTGGTCTTGTCCGGATTCGTCGCAATGTATCTGGAGGGCTAATATCGTCTTGGCTTCCGCAAGGGCAAAGACGAGCCGCAAGACGTGACGGAGCACCACAAACCAGGGCCCTCGTATCACATTGACAGTCAACGGAGCGGTCATTTGTTTTAGTGCTAGATGGTTGTCCCCCCCCCCCTCCCCCATTCCCAAACTCGTATCAAGTCGCTGCCAGCGCATGGCCACGGAGCTACAAAATCCGCCAATATCGTGATGCCAACCTCGCATGCTCACGGCCGCTCGTCTCCTATTCGAGAGGTTTCTTGCCTCCCGCAACGTCATCCTCCCCCTCCAGCGCGACGCGCTTGCCCTGCACGCCCTCCTCGACCTCAGCCACGAGGCTCTCGATGTATGCTTGGTCCCTGCATGCACGATTAGCCCTAGTCTCTCCCACCCCCCTCCCCCCTCCATATCGGCAGATACAGCTCTTTTGGCCCCCACGCCAGAGCGCTCCTTATCAAACGGCGGACCGGAGATGCAAGAAAATGCGGGAAAAGCTCACCTGCCGACGAGTGTGACGGTGCCATTCTGCTCCCAGCGCGGATAGCTGCCGACCTTGACGCCCTTTGGTCCCACCTTGGCCGCGAACTGCGTGAGGAAGCCGGCGACGGCGCTCTCGGCGAGCGGCGTGGAGATGAGCACGCGGGCGAGACCCTTGCCCTCGGGGTCCGTCAGGCGGGGCACCAGGACCGGCTTGAGTCCGTCAAGTAGCTTTTCGACTGTTTTTCTCGGGGTTAGTGGATTGTTTCTCGGCGTGTGTAGGTCGTAACCCACACGGATAGAGAGCGGTGAAAGAAAGGAACAAGAAAACACAAAAGGCCTACAGAGTCTCGGAACGCCAGGCAGGATGTGGACGTTGCCGTTGACGACGTTGACGGGGACCCAGAGGTCCTCGTGCGGGAAGAGGAACTGCTTGCTCTGGTCGCGCGCCTCGTCGGTGGGGAGGATGACCATGCGCAGCTTGGCCTGGCGGGCGGGCGAGTCGACGTCCCAGCTAAAGTCGGGCTGCGAGGGATGGGGCTTGGAGAGCTTCTTCATGCGAGCGTAGGCGTCCTCGTTCAGGATCAGAGGGAGGCTGAAGGCTTTGCCGATGGACTCGTAAGTGATGTCGTCGTGACTGAACGTCTTGTCAGATCTCTCTACACGATACGAACGACAAGGCGAGACAAGACGGGACGAGAGAAAAGAGAGGCTCACGTCGGGCCGATGCCGCCGCTGGTGACCACGAAATCATAACGATCGCTCATGCGGCGGACAGCTTCGATTATCTCGGATTCGTCGTCCTCGATGACTTCGACACGCTTCAGGCTCTAGAGTTTGTGAGCTGGCTGGATTTTGGGGTTGGGTAGGCACAGGGCGCGCTTAGCCTTACGAGACCGAGAGAGAAGCACCACTTCGCCATGTAGGCAGAATTTGTCTGCGCCTGTCAGTGTGACGCTCGTTCCGTGAAGATATGTGGGCTCCGTCGATTCCGCCGAACGTACATCCACAGTCTATCGAGTGTTAGCACATTCGCTTCGCAGAGGCCGCGCGCAACATTCGCACCTTGCCGCCGAGGACCTCATCGCCGATGATCAAGCACGCTGCCGTGTGAATGGTCCTCGAATTACGTTCATCTGCTGAAGCCATGATTCTGTTGGTGAGTCTTGTCGCCGAAGTCGGACGGGTAAATGTTGAGGCTACGGGGAGGTGTCTCGCGATTTGGGAGAGACGTGAAAACATGAGAGTGGTCGGAAGATAATGAGAAATGGCGAGAGACAACGACGAAAGAGACAAAAACAGATCGCTGTTAGAAATCCGATGCAACGCCCAAGCAGGCCAACGAAGTGAGGACGCAGTCTGGAGAAGTCATTAGTCGAGTTGTGCTTCGTAGCTCTGGCGACGAGCAGCCAAACGGTGAGGTCACCAGTGGAGCCACGCTTGCGCTTGAGCTTAGGTACCTAAGGTAGGTACCTCGAGGAATGGCGGGGCTCGCGGCTAGGCTGTCCCCTGCACATCGACTGTTCAGGTCCCTTGATAAACGCTGCTGTTGTTTCGATCTCCCCAAGCTCCCAGCGACCCGACCATCTCACGCCCTAAGCTTCCAAGAAACGGCTCATCGATCACCAACACCTTGTTCTGCGACTGATCGCTTCAAGATGGTATGCCGCATGCCATGCAAGCTCCCGTGTCCTGACAGCGACTGACCCCGCACACCCCCCCCCGCCAGGCTTCCGAATCGCGTCTCTACACTTTCTCCCAGGACTCCAAGGACCACCTGCGCAAGTTCCGTCTGGGAACGTCAAGGTCCAACGATCCTCAAGCAGTCATTTGTATGTACGTCTCGCTGTCGGCAGAGAGCACATGAGATGGCTACGAACCATGTGCACCGCGATCGTGTCTTTTCGTCCGTATGCAATGCGGGGCTGCAAGGCGTTCATTTCCCCCTCGGCTGATATATTCGACAGACCTCATTGATAAAACTACGCACGAGATCCGCCAAGATGAGGATCAGATGGTCTACAAATCCCTCGACGCCATTGCCGACGACCTGCCCGACCACAGCCCGCGCTTTGTGCTGCTGAGCTACCCCATGACAGTGGTGAGTCTTTGTCTCGCGACGCCGACAACCCCACAGAACAGTCTTCGGAAACTGACAATTGATGGGCAGTCCGGCCGAACATCGGTCCCTTATGTCCTGCTCTACTACATTCCCGTGACGGCCAACAACGAACTCAAGATGCTGTACGCCGGCGCCAAAGAGCTGATGCGGAACACGGCCGAGGCCGGCCGGGTGCTGGACGTCGAGAGCATTGACGAGATTGAGGAGATCCCCTCGAGGTTGGGCGCCGACTAGCGGTGGAAAGTGAGCGGGTCGCAAGGAGGAGAATGACGAAGCACGTGGGACAAGAGCATCTAGGGAACAGAAAGTTTTGGCATTCAGAGCAGGCAGGGTATCAGATCTTATTTTGGTCATCCATCGGTCATCCTCCATCACAAATATAACATCCCGAGACGCCTATTCAGGCAAAACGTCCTTCGGATCCAGTCCAATCTGCCTGCTCACGTTCCTGACGACCTCCTTGAAAGCAAGACACGCCGGGCTGTCGGGGAAGCTGTCGAAGTAGCTCTCGCCGTAGTCGCACGCCATGCCTATCCTCGGGTCCAGCGGCACGCTGCCCAGGAAGGGAATGCCCATCTCGGCGGCCAGCCCGCGGCCGCCGCCCGTCGTCGCGCGAAAGATGTCGCTCTGGCCGGTGCACTTGGGGCACACGAAGCCGCTCATGTTCTCGGCGAGGCCGAGGACGCGGATGCCGGCCTTGCGGCAAAAGTCAATCTCCTTGCGAACGTCGAGCAGCGAGACCTCCTGCGGCGTCGTGACCATGACGGCGCCGTCGATGCCGCTCTCCTTGAGGAACGAGTTGACGCTGAGGTGCTCGTCGCTCGTGCCGGGCGGCGTGTCGACGAGCAAGAAGTCGAGTTCGCCCCACTCGACGTCCTTGAGGAACTGCTTGATGAGGCCGTTCTTCTTGGGGCCGCGCCAGATGACGGCGTCGTCGCGCGACGGCAGCAGGAACTGGATGCTCATGACGCCGAGGTTGTCGAGGACCCAGACGGGGCTCCAGCCGGCGCCGGACACGTGGATCGTCTCGGCCTCGACGCCGAGCATCTTGGGGATGCTGGGGCCGCAAATGTCCGTGTCCATGACGCCGACCGACGAGTCGGGGTTCGTGGCGAGGGCGTGCGCGAGGAGCGCCGTGAACGTGCTCTTGCCGACGCCGCCCTTACCGCTGAGCACGAGGATCTTGTGCTTGATGCCCGAGAGGCGCGCCGAGATGATGGGGATGTCGGGGTCCGGGCCTTTGGGCGCCGACGCGCAGATGGCCTGGTTGGGACAGCCGGCGCACGAGTCGGCCGTGCCGGCTTGCTCTGATTCGGGCCCCGGGCAGTGCTCTGGTTCGGGGGCCACGAGCGACGGCTTTTGCGGGTTGGCGATGACGTCTTCCACGGCCTCGGGCGCCTCTAGGGGCGCCTCCAAAGAGGGCGCCATTGCTGTTGTCGATGCGTCTGCCGTGTGCTTGGAGTGTAAGAGACCGAGTAGAAATCGTGAGGTGAGGTTGTGGTGATGTTGAGGAGAAGGTGAGGAGAAGGTGAGTGCTCAGTGTTCCAGAGGCACCGCTGGAGGGGCAAAAGTGAAGGAGCTTAATAATTCAGTTAGTTGGCTAGACCCTCCGAGGTCGCATCTCCGCTACCTGCAGCCATGGCTGATAAGCAGTGACGCATCGGCGTCTTGTCTTTTTGATGAACATGGGCGAGTATGTCAGTCGAAGGTACACATGCTTCATGGATCCCCCCCTTCGCCAGAGATCGTGGCACACACGTCTGTGCCTTGATGCCAGCACGCAGGCCATGTCCTCGGTCTCCGAAGGCCAACGCTTGGCCTCCGCATTGGAGGGCAGGGAAGGGAGGGTCTTATCAGATCTGATAAAGACCGACCCCACGCAAATTTTCAGAATGACCCCTCCAACACCCAAGCCAGTCTGACTGGAGTGAGTGACCTGCCGCCTGTTGTGACCCTTGACAAGACCATTTTCTCTCGACACAACAACCATAGACGACAACAAAAACAACAACAGCGCGCAACATTCCACCACAAAGCCAACGAGGCGCTCATTTCGACACATTTCACCCCACCTACCAAAGACACACTTGCATCATGTCGCCCTCGGCCGACCCCCCTTCGCCCATCTCGACCGAGACCACCATCGCCGCGCTCCGCAAGTCCATCACCTCGGAGGCTACGCCCCTGCCCCTGCGTTTTCGCGCTCTCTTCTCCCTCAAGCACCTCGCCACCGTCTCCGAGACGGCCGAGTCCAACGCCGCCATCGATGCCATCGCCGCCGCCTTCGCCTCCCCCTCAGCTCTCCTCAAACACGAACTCGCCTACTGCTTGGGCCAGACCGGCAACCTTCACGCCGTCGAGCCCCTTCGCAACGTGCTGAGTGACCTCAACGAAGACCCCATGTGCAGGCACGAGGCTGCCGAGGCGCTGGGTGCGCTGGGCGACGCCAGTCAGCTCGACATTCTGAGGCAGTTCCGCGATCGCGAGGGCGAGGAGGTTGTTGTCACTGAGACGTGCGAGATCGCCATCGACCGTCTGGAGTGGGAGACTTCGGAGCAGAGGAAGCAGGAAAAGCTGCGCAAGAGGTGAGGAGCTTGAATTCCCGGCCTACATTCCTGATGCGCAGAGGCAGAACATCACGGCTAACTACGTTGTGCCCATCCAGCGACTTCACATCCATCGACCCCGCACCGCCGATGGAAGAGTCCCAGCGCACCGTCGACGACCTCGAGAAGAACCTCATGGACCAGTCCAAGCCCCTCTTTGTGCGCTACCGCGCCATGTTCGCCTTGCGCGACCTGGCCTCGCCGCCTGACCTGCCGACAGCTGTGCCTGCCGTCCTGGCCCTCGCCAAGGGCCTCGCAGACCCTTCCGCCCTCTTCCGTCACGAGATCGCCTTCGTCTTTGGCCAGCTGTCGCACCCTGCCTCCATTCCCGCCCTGACTGCCGCGCTGAGCGACACCAACGAGGCGAGCATGGTGCGCCACGAGGCGGCCGAAGCCCTGGGTTCGCTCGGCGAGGAGGAGGGCGTCGAGGCCACCCTTCTCAAGTTCCTCCACGACGACGAAAAGGTGGTGCGCGAGAGCGTCATTGTTGCGTTGGACATGGCCGAATACGAGGCCAGCGGCCAGACGGAGTATGCGCTCATCCCCGAGGGCACCAAGGTGTCAGCGTAAGGTGAGGGGGGGCTGGCACCGTGTATATAGACAAGGAGGTATCATTTGATTTGAGCATAAAAAAAAGCAATAATTCCACTTTCGATGCAACAGGTTCCTAGTTGTTTTGTGACCACCTAGATTCGTCGTTAGCACTTGTTCCGCGTCGAAGCCAACCGTCTCGCTGGGCTTTCTCGTACCTGTTGCCGCACTTGCACGTGTAAAAGGTCGTGCTACCTTCATCGGCACCACGGAGCTGCAGTTGGGTGTAATAGACCTCCTCGCGTCCGCATTTGGGACAGGTCTCGTCGATAAGAGCGTGGGTGTTAACCTTGTGCTTCTCGATGGTCTGCACCTTGGATTGCAGCTTCTGCCTCAGCTGGGAGGGAAAGTCGGTGGGTTTGGTGGAAGTCGAGATCGATTTGGAGCCGGTGTCTAATGATGCCGCCGCCGCCTTCACGTCAGTCGCAAAGCACAAGACGGGCCTATGCTGGAAGTCTCGGAAGTGGTCGCACCTTTGTTTTCGGCGTTGCAGCAGGCGCAAATGAGGACTGCCTTTTTTCCACCTTGCGACACGGGCAACAAGTTACCGCAATCGTTGCAGAAGACAAGACTTCCTATCGCAGACATTGTGTGGAGTAGTGTGCAACGTTTGGCGTGAATATGGTTCTGAGAAGTCTCGATGCCGGGATCAGCTATCTCATGAATCTCACACATGCAACCAGTGGAGGGAGTGAAATTTCCAGACTGGTCGCTGGGGATTTTTCTCCTTATCGTTATCGATCCTAAAAGCATGTATCGCTATCGTCATCTGGTACGTACAGTCCCGGGGGCGGGCATCCTTCGACCCCTGTCAGCCCCTGCCAGACTGCATCAAGGCTATGCCCCATGCGCAGCGTGGGGAAGCCCACGATTGGCCAGGCAGCAACAGCAAGCACGAGCCGTCAAGTTGGATGACCGGGGTTCGTCCTCGCGAGGCTGTCGCAACTTCCACCTTCTCCAACCTCGAATCGAGACGGGGTCGACTTCAACGATACACACACCACTCGAACGCCTTGGCAGCTGGGACACTCGAAAACACCCTCTCGGTACTTGGGCTCGAACAGGTTCAATAGCGACATCGTGTCTCGTGTGCACTTGTCCTCGGACGTCCGCTCCTTTTCACCCACCCACGACTTCCCGACAACGTTCTTGCATCCGCATCCGCCTAACAACAAACCCGTTTCGACTTCGATAGGCGATGAAGCGCAGAGCCTCCGACGGCTGAAACCATGGCCGAAAACAGAAGCGGCCAAGGGCCTGCACCGCCCGGGCCGGTGAACGGGACCTATGGACAACCTCAACCATCCTTTCACGAGCATTCCGTGCGGCCGTTCACGCTGCAAGAGGCACTGCCCTATTCGCCTCAAACATCGGTCGTGCCATTCACTGCAGGTACGCACCCATTGTTCTGTGCTGGTGCTTTCATACGTCGAATTGATCTGACTTTGCCGCTCTTTCTACGTAGACCTGATCCCTGATCCCACGGTTGGGTCAGGCCTGCCTGCCTCGAGCATCGCCCATCTCTTTAGCAACAAGGATTTCGACCAACTCAACAGACAAGCTTCGCAGGATCCGAACAGCAAACAATTGAAACATGCTGTAGACCACTTGCTTCAGGAGCTGAGACCAAACCAGCGAACATTTTAGTATGCGCCCATCCTGCCCCCAGCCAGTCAACCAGATTGCTGACAATCATCAGCAAGTTCAAACAAATCACGAAGCCTCTCATCGACCTCGAGTCATCAAAACACAGACCCGAAGGCCTCACAAAAGGTCTGACGCCACTGAGCACCATGGTCCTTGAGAGGGCGCCCACCTTCATTCGACGACCAGGCGATGGCCCGACTCGAACTACGCCAAATGGCGAAGCTGCCGTTCACGACCAACAGCGACCGCCGAAGAAGTCAGGCTCGCCACAGGACGCGAAACGGGCCATTTCCAACGCAGAGGCGCATCGCCAGAATGCGGCTCGCATAGAGATTGCCATTCCCGCCAAACAGTTCGACCCGACGGCCTACGTTGCTTATTCTGACCAGCCTTCGCCCGTCGATCAAAGCACAGCACCCACGGCTCCTCAGCAAGCCCTTCCCCAGGGAGTTGTCAAGCTTGAACCCACTGGCACGAGTGAGGTTTCCTCCGCTCGGTCCACCGCTGCGCCAGTCAAAAGAGAGTCGGAGACGAGGAACGCCGCTTTCGCTGTTGAGCTTCCACATACTACGTTCAACAAGGCAGAGTACGCTCACGTACCAGATGAGACGGATGAGCCTCTGCAACTGTCGGTCAGACGAGAAGCCTACCATGATAGCCAGGACGCGCTCGGGGCAAGTCTAGACCAGCGACAAAGGGCTGAGACGGCACTGCTCGACCTGGATCGACTAGCTCGTAGCGTGTTCGACGCTGTTGGTCATGCCTTGCAGCGCGATCCTGGCTACGCTCACATCGTGACCATCACTAATAACGGTGATCCGGCACTTGCGAGCGACGCTCATCAACGATTGCAGAAAGCCGTCGAGAAGGTCATCAGTCTGGGAAGCTATGCTGAAGTCCCCCTGGATGTGCTCATGCGGATCCAGAAGCTCAGCGAAGTTAGTGTCAAGCAGACCCTTGAGTTGGATCTTAAACTTGACGACAGTTGGGGCGAGTCCGATGTCAATAGATGGCTAGACCAGCTTCAGCAGGTGGAGATCGGCTTGAGGGCGGGCCGGACCATGATGCGTATCATGTGCGGCGGGCGTGAAGAAAAGCTGCTTTATTCGGAGGATGCCATTAAGCAGGGCATTGAGCTGTACAAGAATGTCATAGATGGCATTGTTGTTCCGGTGGTCGAGCTCAAGGGCAGCGGGCCGACCAGCGACCTTTTCAAGCTCCTCCAACCACACAAGAAGGAACTCGCCACAATCCTGGTCAATTGCCAACGCCTATTCGCGCTTCTCACGAATCTTGTCCGAAGCATTCAGCTCTCCGATGTTGCTCTCGGCACTCTCGAATTCTCTGCCTCGAGCCTGATTTTCGTCGACAATGCTCACTACGAGAAGGATTCCGTGGTGGGGGTTCAGAAATTCGACGGGATCCGTTTGGTGGCGATGGACATGCTCTGCCAGATCTTCCTTGTCAAGCCAGATGAGCGCAATGGCATCTTCAACGAGCTTCTCACGTCTCTTGAGAAGTTGCCAGTCGGCAAGCAAAGCGCTAGGCAGTTCAGGTTGTCGGAAGGCGGGAACATCCAGCCTCTCTCTGCACTCCTGATGCGTCTCGTCCAGTCGAGCTCTGGAAAGATACAAAACAAAGAGCAACGTGCAAGGACATCAGAAGACGCCGACGCCGACGGTGAAGAGGACGAGCTCCAAAATGGCACCGCGACACATGCGGGGCCCGATCAGCAGATCTTTACGATTAAATCGGAGATCCAGGGTGCGGATGAACACCATACTGCCATGACTGAATTGGAGAATGTCTCGAAACCTCTTGTCGACGGCGTGCAGCGGAACGCCTCTCACGTTGTCAACTTCATTGTCAACCGGGCTCTGAAGTCAACCAAGTCTGGGGACGCACCGTTCCGCAACCTACTGGATCTTTTCGTCGAAGACTTCACCACATGCATGGATTCGCCTGACTGGCCGGCTGCCGAATTGATTCTCCGACAATTGACCTACTCTATGATTCGATTGTGGGAGAACGACAAATCAGTGGCTCCTGCAAAGAACATGGCTCTCGAACTGCTCGGTGTCATGTGTGCAGCAGTGTCGAGGCTGCGCTCCCATATCAGGAAAGTTGCGGAGAGCAAAGACTCGAGCACCGGTGATCAGTTGGGGCGGTTTCTCGCGGACCTTGCCATGGCCGCCTTGGAGCAGAACAATCGCGTGGAGCACTTGGTTTCCTGGTCGGGACCCTTCCGGGCTACCCTTGAGCACCTCGAGGAACGCTGCGCCGATGACCCTCACCTCAGGGGTGCCATCTCATATCTGATCACGGATTGGGCCGAGCGTTGCAGCTTGGCTTACCACGGCGTCGAGGAAGATATGGAGGAGCGTGATCGCGAGTATGGCCGTCTCGCCTATCGACTCAGGATGATGATCGATGACCCTCGCTGGCTCTCCAGTGAGTATACGTTCAAAAAAGTTGCGCCCAACCACGCCAAGCTGTCTTACTCGATCGTCTTGCTTCGCTCTCCTTTCTGCGAGCTATTCCCTCGTATGCTTAACGCTCTACTTAACGCCATGGCTAGCGATCAGGCATCCGTCCGAAGCAAGAGTCTGAGAAGCATCAATCAGCTTTTGGAGACCGACCCGGCAATCCTCGACGGCAACTCGTTGGTCGTGGAGCTCATCCTGAACTGTTCCAATGATTCTTCGCCACAAGTCCGCGACTCGGCTATTGGCCTCATGGGCAAGTGTATTCAGCTACGCAGCAATCTCGAGGAGAAGATGATGGAAAAAATTCTGGATCGCTTCGTCGACAGCGGTGTGGGAGTACGCAAGCGCGCCATGAAACTCGCGCGTGACATCTACCTGCGTAATCAGAGCAAACAGGCCCGTAGCGCTATCGCCAGCAACTTACTGCACCGTGTGCAAGACCCCGACGAGAGTGTGCGCGATCTGGCTCGGCAGATGATCGAGGAGGTTTGGTTCGCGCCTTTCTATCATGCCGAGGACACACCCGCATTCAAGTCCTCGCTGACCGAACACGTCGCTCTCATGATCCAGACGAGCAAGTCTGGGAACATTACCGCTATCCTAGACAAGGTGCTGCAATCAATCCTCGGCACGACGAATAAGGCTCAGAAAGGGCCATTTGAGGTGAGCATCAAACTGGTCGCCAGCATGTTTGAGCTCATCGACAACCTCGATTCGGACGACCCATCTATTCCTCATGGGCGAGACGCATTACAAGTTCTTCAAGTCTTTGCGAAAGCCGATCCCAAGCTCTTCACCTTTGAGGAAATCCGCCTCCTGAAACCACACCTGTCAAGCTACAGCACCGTTGACGACCGGGCTGTGTTCAAAGCTGTTGCCGTCATTTACCGCCAGGTGTTACCGCAGCTTACGATCAAGCATGAAGAGTTTCTCAAAGATGTCCGAACACAGCTTCAATACTGTCTCGGCAAGATTATCAAGCCACTCCTGGATGATTCAGTCGCTTGTCTCTGGATCTTAGCCCAGTTGCTTGGCAATCGCATGAACTTGGCTCGTCTTGCCGGATCCAGTCTTGCAGGGACAGTCAAGCTTCGTCAGTCGCCTCCTAACGAGAAAACTGTCCAGCTCTTCATCCGCTACTCCCAGATCATTGGCGCCGTCGGCAAGCACTGCAATCTAGACTCTGATTGGGATTCATTCAAGGCCGCGGGCAGCCCGTCTCTACCCGATTCCAAAGACAAGTCGGTTACGAAGCTCATGGTGGATCAACTCTCTCCTTGGGCTGACCCAAAGAAGCCTCTGGAGGCAAGGAAGGCCGCTTTGGAGGCGATTGGGCTCATCTGCCAATCGCACCCTCGCAATTACGTGTCCCCCAACGTGATCCCGAGATTCGAGGCTGTCTTTTCGGAGAAGAACCCCGTCCTTGAGGATGCTGTTTTGAGGTCCTTCAAAGAGTTCCTCATCAGTGAGGAGCGACGATCCGAGGCCTCCACCGCCAAACCCGCCACGGGCCCAGATGACAAGAAGCGCAATTTGACGGTGATGGGCGGAACCACCCACGACGATGTCAGCAGCGCAACTACGCAGCGCTTCCTGGAAGACATTACGAGAATCGCTCTATCGTCTAAGGACGAGCACGCCTTCTTGGCCGTCGAGGTCCTCGGCAGCATCAATCGACAAGGCCTCACGCATCCAAAGGAGGTTGGTGTCACGCTGATCACTCTGGAAACCTGCCCGGTTCATAGGATCTCTGAGGTTGCTTACATGGAACATCGAGCTCTGCACGAGAAGTACGAGACCGTTGTCGAACGTGAGTACGTCAAGGCCATCCAAGTGGCTTATGAATATCAGCGCGACATTATAAAGGATCCCCGCGGCGCAACGGAGAACCCTTTCCAATCAAAACTTCATCTGTTGATGGAGGTTCTGAAGATCAGCAAGTCGAAAAATCGTCAGAAGTTCATGGCCAAACTCGTCGCTCACGTTGATTTCGACCCGAATAAACTGGAAACCACGGACGAGATGCCACCTCAGATGGGCATCTCCCGGTTCATCATTGAGAACCTTGCCTTTTTCGAGTACATGACCGTCGGAGAGGTGCAGTTGACTGTCGCCGCCATGGAAAAGGTCGTCTCTTCGACAGGGTCTAATCTCGCGCATGTTATTGAGACGGAGCTGTTCAATGTCCGCATGGACATGGATACTGAACAGCCCCTGCAACCTGTCGCGCCGAAAGAGGGACAAGTTGAGGACGGTTCAGTCGTGCAAGAACAATCGTTTGGGCCGCCCCTTGCGAAGCTCAATGTCACCCCTGAGCGGCTGCGGCAGCTCGGAGCCGGCGCCATCATTTTACTAGCGCTCTGGGAGGCGCGAACACACATCAGGCGTCTCTACGGCATGAACAGTAACCGCAGGGAGTCGAAGAGCAAAGCGGCTGCCAAGGATCTCAGCAAAACACCCGTCAAGGTTCCGGGCATCACGGGTGACAAGTTTTGGGAAGAAGTCACTTCTCATATCAGCGGTCTGGCCTCACAAGAGTGCCTCATGCGCAAGTGCCGAGCCTTTGTAGAGCTCATGAACGTTGACAAGGAGTTCAAGGTTCAAAAAGAGGACGAGGAGCTTGATGAGGAAGAGCCCGCGACTCCCAGCGGTGGCGAAGACGAAGCGGGAACTCTCAACCGGAAGAGGAAAGCAGGTCCGGGCACGCCCGGGAGCCGCAAGAAGCAGGCGAGAATGAACGGCCAAAAGCCGCGCGGACGACCACGAAAGGGAGCCCAGCCGACCAGCGACGATGAGGATGCTGACGGAGACTTTGATGACTTGTTCTGAGACGGTGATCACGATACGATGTGGCTCTGCTCGGACAGGAATGGGGAGGAGGCGTTACTGGCGTTCCACGTTTTTGCGCCACGCATCGATATGACAATTTTGCAACGTCACGAGCTAAGTGGAGGGGTTTCACGCATCTTTGGCTGTTTTATACCGAGGACACGGGGTCGGAAGGACTGGGTGCATCATTCAAAGACAAGGAGGCTCCGCGATATTGAGGCATGAGGCTTCGCATCGTGCCACAAATGGGAGACAAGAGAATTGGAGCGGAGAAGTCGCAGACTGAAAATGGGTGGCGTTCAGGTGTTTTTCTCCGAGGTGGTACGGCGACTCTCTGCGGAGAAAAGGGGTGTCCAAGATACCTTTTATTCGGGAGGCATCCTCAAGATGTTGATCTTGTTTTTCGTTTCCTACTCATTTGCTCTCTCTTTACCGATGATACCTCTCTTCTGGTGTGGTAGGCCTTTCTCTACCAAGAAAAATACAACGATGGACGAAATTATCAGAGCTGCACTCGGCTCGAGGCAAGGCAGTTAGTTTGCTCAATAACGCTGCCTCCTGCTTCTCAGCTTCTACTTGCAGGATGACTCATGTGGCAGACGCGATGAATCTAGTTGTATGCAGTGACGATGGATGTTTCCTTGAATGTGCACACGATATTATTCATAATGAGTACTTGGAGCTAATATCTGCTACTACCCTTGAGACATCTTGAGAAAGACAGCAGATAACGAATGTATTCCCAACCCTCTCTAGCCTAAAACGCCAGTGCCATGCCGCTTCCCATCCAAATGTCAGTGCTCGAAGCGATGCTGGACGATGACCGTCGCTCCATCCGCTGAAAAGAATCATGAAAAGCATGACAAGCAAAACCTCCGCGCTCTCTCTCTCTCTCTCTCTCTTCGGGTATCATGTGAGCATCCATGTCAACGCTTTCTCGTCCCGCCCTGATCGTCTCACATCACTCAGATCGACATGTAGTGCCAAACAAAAGATGTTGGTCACGACGCCCAAGGCGCCCAAAGCACATCACTCGCTTGCATCCATGCTGTCAAGCCATCCGCGTACCGCTTCACGCAGGACACTTTCCTGCTCTTCTCTCACGACTCTGCAGCCGTTTCCATTGCGTCCTTCACCTTCGTGCTCTCGCTTCTCCACAACGTCCCGAATAATGTCGTGCAAGGCAGACAGAACGACCGACTTGCATTCGCCTCGCGGTACTTCCTGAACCAGGTGCGGTATCGTATGGCTCTCTTCAGATTCGGAAGCGTCACTGCTGCTGCGTCCGCGACCCTTGCTTGTGGATCGTGACGAACTGGAAGAATTGTGCTTGCTCGTGTCGAGGCCCTGTGAGATAACTCTTTCAACAGCCTCAGTCAGGACGTCGTCCAGGCTGGCAAAGTTCTCTTCAATGAATTCATCCTCCAATTGGTGCTCATAAGGCATGACTGAAGGAGTCAGCAGTGCGGTGCCGTAAACGCTGGAACCAGCAGAGCCCATGGGGGCCGGACGTTCCGCCCACGGTCTTGGACGGATTAGTCGGCGATATCGGATGCGCTTGGTTGTGTGTGTAGCTGTGTCTGCTATCAAGACTGAGCTGACATCGACCCATCTCTCCCCAGAGTCATCGCTTGCTTGCTTGTGGAAGATGAATGGAGTCGGTTCCGACCGCATGGACTGTTTGATCTGCCCTTCCAGATCGTCTTGTGGTGGGATCGCTTGCAGCACAAAGTCTTGATGAAATCGCTGCAGGTACCCGGCGACATTCATAGGTAGATCGCCATCAATGACTATGCGAGAAAGCTGCTCAAAGCCATCGAGTCCGCTGCCCAGTCCAGGGGTGGAGAGGTAGCCACTGCTTGAGGGAGAGCTGACAGCAGTTTCAAATGATGTAATGTAGTCAGGAAATGGAATGTCGACGTCGATTACGCCATCCTCGGGGTTGATGGTGGTCTTGACAGGAGACTGGAACGCACTCGTGGGATCCGGCGTTCTGTCAGCAAACCCCAACCTTTCGGGTTCATCATCAATGGCTTGCTCATCATCATAACCGCGAGGTGTCTGGGGCTCACTACCCTCGATGGACGGTCTTGGGTCGGTCGTGTGACGATAGCCCTCCACAATGGACGCTTCTCTCACCATTTCAGCCAGCTTATCGGTTCTACCGAAATTGCCTTTCGTAGGCGAGGTTGGGCTGCTGGACTCGTGCATTGTCAGGTTGGATGATCCTCTCCGAGCGGCAGTGCTCCACAGGCCACTGATCATGCTGCCCCATCGGGAACTTGCTGCTCGAGAGTCGGTGCTGGCGCTACTCATGTGTCCTGAAGTTTCACCGCGTATCAAGGATCGTTTGAGGTCGTCCGCGGCAATGCTACTACTGCTGCCAGGTCGCGGCCTCCGTCGACTTTCTGTCCTATGAAAGGTGGAGAAATGGGGAATAGACGTTTCTGGCGTGATCGTGGTCGTCGTTGCCGCGCTGCTTTTCCTACTCCCGACATCATTGCCAGGGATAGGGAGGTTGGATCTGAGGGAGCCTACGTCAGAGAAACGTCTCTCATGATGTCCTTCCATGGCAAGGTGGGCGAGTTGAGTTGGGACACCGGACATGCGAGTGCTTTGGCTCATGTTGCGTGTGTGCGATGTTCGCCTTGGTCCAGTTCTGCGGTTGATCTTTCGGCGTAAAGACTCTTCGCGCAGGATCGGCACAATGTAGGAAGGCGGTGACTGCGAGAAGGCCCCGACAGACGTTGACGTGCTCGGCCGGTGTGGGCGTGCAGTGGGTACCTGCTGATTGGCCGGGAGGAAGGCGGACAGCAGGAAAATCAAGCGCCGCGCAAGCATCTTGTCCTGGGAAACGATGACGGTGCGGGCAGGTAGGAACAAATCCTCTTCTCCCTTTGCTCGTTGCTGCTCGTAAAACTTCCTTCGGTACGACATGGGGCTCAGCGCCTGGAGCCAGTCCATGTGAGTAGCAAGAAAGCCGGTCAACAGATGAAAGAAGAATGAGAACCCATCATCCCTCTCGCTGGCTCTGCGAGCCATCCACCTCGCCTCGTCTCGCCAAATGCCCCACCTGCCCTGGCCAGTGATGACGCGTTGCGCACGCAGACCAGTGACGACTCGTACTCTTGCCATGGCAGCATGTTGTACAATGAGGTCGTCGTGTTGAAGACGATGCGACTGTAGCGCAATGAGCTTGGAATTTGTTTTCGGGGGTTTGAACATGTGCGCATCGTCGCCCCTCCTGTTCAGGGATGGGGTGCGTCCAACAAAAGAGGCGACGGGCGCCGTAGATGGATCCGGAGATGAGATGTCTTCCTGTTTGAGCATGGCACCTAAAGACATGGCCACTACAGATTGGAGATGCGTCAGCGTTCTCATGATGATGTCCCAGTGCTGGGTGACAACATCCATGCGATCATCCACGTCAGCGGAAAATGACGACTCCAGAGACTCATTGTGGAATCCAGAGCCCGGCATCGCCCAACCGGAGCGACGGGCAGAGCTCATGGATGACGCAAAGAAATCATGGTCAGTGTAAGACCCAGGCCCCTTGAACGCGAGGCGTGTAGCAGCAGCGGGTGGCATCGTCTGGTTGGGACTCGGCGGCAGTTGAATGACGAGCACCACGGCGTACATTGGCGTCCTCTTCTGCTTTGGCTGCGGCTTCTTCTTGGGAACTGGCTCTTCTGGTGGTGGAAAGGGAAACCCAGCATTTTGGTCGGAATATCGGCTCATGGGGGTATCGTTTTCAGAATCGTCAGTGGGCATGATGACCGGAAATAGTCTTGTGATGAGGATCTTTCTCCTATCAGACTGCCTCGGCGTCGACGTCGTTGCGAAGGATGCCGAAGGGTGTGCTGAAGAAAGAGTCTCAGACGTGTACGACTGCGCGAGCCGGCTTGAACGCATGCTTGATCTTCCAATGGACCCACGCCCATCGCCCAGCAAAGACCCGGCATACTCCGTGCGACTGTCACTAGAGCTAGGGACAATGTGCACTTTAGTTGAGGTGCCCTTGTAAGCCATCAACTCGGAATTGCCAAATGTGCAACTGGAAAATGCGCTGATCTCGTCGTTGTACTCGCGACGCGCGCGCTGTAATTCTGTTTCAGCCGTAGTTTGTGTGCGGCCTTGCAGAGAGCCACGACGGTCAAAGGCGCCCTGACGCGGTTGTGGGCTGTCCGGTTGAATGACAAGGGGCCTAGACCCGTGGTTCAGACTGCTTTTACGCGGCGTTCCTGGCGTCCTCCGAGGGTCCTGGAAGGACGGCAACCCTCCCGGTGATCGATCTGGAGCAACGGGAGCTGGCGGGGGCGGCCCCTGGCTGTCGAACAGGAGCTGGAACGGATAAGGACCAGCAGCATCCTGCATGATGAGGACCCTAATATGTCGTGCGTCGAGCTCAATGTCTGCTTCATAATCAAACGGGCTGCCTGGGGTTGTTGATGGTAGGGCCGTGGAGAGTGGAAAGACCTGGTCGTTTTGGTGCTGAAACAGGGCGTCGGCATCGGGAAACAGGAGATGACGGGTGTGAATGTCCTCTTGCACAGACTCCAGAGACGACTGGGGGGGTTTGGTGTAATTGGACTGAGGCGACCCGCCACTACTGGCGCCATTGCCGGTCCCCAAGTTGAATAGTTTCCCCAGCATGGCGGCGAGATGATCGGCCACAAGGGGGGAGGTGAAAGGGATCTTATGTCAGAACGTATGTCTTTTCAAAGATGTGATCCTGAACCCATGCTCAACAGCGAGAGGCGAGGGAATCCAAATTCAAGGGCATCGCATCGGCCTCGGCGTCCATGGGTAGAAAGTAAGAGATGTCAAGTGATTAAGTTGTGAGGAAGTGCTTTTGCGTTAGGGGGGGATTGACGATGACAGCGGCGGTGTGAGGTGTGGTCAAGACGGTGAGGTCTAGTCGAGAGTCGACAGGTCTCGGCCCTGGCTGCGTGGTCGTTGCTTGTCGTAGGTAGTCACGCGGTCGGTTGCCGTTGACGTGGGGTCTTCTAGTGCATTGAGTGGATGACCTGGCTGCCGCGGATTGCCGTGAGGGCACGTTGTTGAACCCTGCACTCAGGAAACTGTGCGTGGACGATATTATGCGACTGCCGTTTTGTCGACCGAGTTAGACGTGCGGTGCGTCGTATCGCGTTGCGATGCACTGACAGGCAAGAGATGATGTATGGTGTGCTGAGGGAGGGAGAGGGGGAAAGGGAGAGGAACCGAAAGGTTGGGTCGCGTAGCGGCTGTCAGAAAGAGACGCGGCGTCAAGACCTAGGTCTAAATCCAGGTCCAGGCCCAGATTCGGATCCGCGGGGGTGGGAAACAGTGAGATTGAACTGTGGCGGACAAGCTAGTGCTTCTGTGTCTCTGACTGAAGGTCGGTCCACTGTTGTTGGTGGAGTTCTCGAGCAGGTGCTGAGGTCGATATGGAATGTGCGACAGAGGAAAACTGGCAGCCACAGGAATAGAAATGAGGGCCCTCAGGATGGCGTGGGGCAAAGAGTCAGTCAAAAAGGGAGACGGCTGCGCGAAGCAGTGGGCGACTCGATATAGTCTCTGCGTTGTGTTGGACGTAGGAATGTGACTGGATGCGATGGACAGACGGGGGCGGCGCACCGTGGCGGATGTTGCGTTTGTGGCCGTTCGTGTTATTCAAGTTCTGTGTCGTTCGGTACCGTGACTTGTTGCATTCGTCGTCTTCGATCTGTACGTTGGAAGCCAGACGTGCGTCAAAGCAAGGACGGTGGGCTGAGTGACCCAGATATGTAGGTCCTGCGCGGTGTGCTTGTCCAGTATTAGTGTGCGTAAAAGAGCTGCGAGTAATCGCGTGGGCGTCGATGGGTGCCACGACAGCAGTGAGTGGGCGGACTGGAAGAGTTGGAGGCGGCGGCGGCGGCGGCGGGTAATGGGGGGGGGGACATAAGGCGGCAGAAGCCTATTTTTGTCATCGAAGGGGGGGAAAGAAAGAGAGAAAAAAAAGACGAGACGTCGCGAGGAGAGCGAGGAGAGGCGACTGGATGGAGAAAACGGAGGGGTAAACGAGGGGTGGTGCGGCACGATGCGTTGTTGCGTCGGTACGTGCGTTGATGCGCGTGTTTGTGATGTCGCATGTACCGCGTCTGGCTGTCGTCTGTAGCCTCGCCTCACCTTGCGGTCGAGGTCAAGCGAGAGCTTATCGACGCTGGCCGGGGTCGCATACGGGCGTCGAGAGACCGGATGGAGCCTGGGTTCAGTTGGCCGGGGGGCACCTGCGAGAGGGCATTGGGGGAGCGAAGGGTGAGGTGAGGTTGTTGAGGTTGCGTGCGCTGGACAAATCGATTTGGATTTGATCGCTGTCGGTTTGCTCGGAATCTTCAGCACCAAAATGCGGTGAGGGAGTGGGGAAGGAGGTGTGGAGCATCGACGCCGGGACGTGCTGGAGCGACCAGGAGCGACCCCTCCAAAGTGGATTGCCTTCCAGGTCATTGGCCCTATAAAAATGAAGGGCGAGGCAAGCAAGGGTGGCCCCAGTACGCTGGATCCGGCCACCGGGAGCAACTGCCAACAGATTGTGGTGTGGTGTACATGTATGTGTAGGGTATTGTGGGTGGGTGGCAGGCGCGATGCACTCCATTGCAGTTGCTGCAACAGGGAGCGCAGTGGAGCTTGAGGTCGAGCTCGAGCTCTACTGTACGTCCTTGGACCCGAAGCGGGACAGTATCTACCCACCTAAGGTATCTAACTACAGGTACCTAAGGTAAGGTAGGTACACTGAAAGATGTTGCTGTGTACAGCCCTCCCAGAAAGTAGGTATGACTTCATTCCACGTCCATCATCCCTCGCCAGTTCATCATCGCGCATCCCCCCCCCCTATACACTGACTCTCTGCCACGGCCGTCTTTACCGGTTTGCCCCCGGCGAGCCACACAAACACTTGGGCTCCCTGGATTCATGCCAAGGTCAGAGTCAAGCTACCTACCGACCTAGGTACATGTAGTCTATCGACGCCCTGAGAATCGACAGAAGTGCCGCTGCGGCCCAACGACCCCGACCAACCCTGACCAAAACGAGACCATTCATTCCCACGCTTCGAAATGACACGCCTCACTTATCACCGCTCGCAGCTCGAGCCAGCTCATCCCTGCTTTTATCGCTCTGGTCAGGGTTCCCTCTTGGAGATCGCTTCGCTAGAGGATTCGGGGCCCTCATCTGCCCATTGCCGTAAAGGTCACGAGTCCGGCTGCTTCCTGCCACCCGCTCGACATGTGCAGCCCCTCCACGCTGTCGGCCGCCATCATGCTTGGGGTCGAAGCGATTCCACCTAATCCCGCTAACATCACAAGCCCGCAGACGGGCGTCGCCAGAACTCGCAACCATCTCGTCGGCGGGGCCGGGACATGTTCATGACTGACAACCACCCTTGCCGCTTGCTCCCTGAATCAAGACCTGCGACTCAAGACAATCGAACCTTACCTACCACCAGACAAACAGTTGGTGCCTTCTTGGATCACCGCCACCTCTTCGGTACACTTTCAGCCTTTATCGTCGTGAGCGCTGGCACGTTGCCCCGTCCCACCATGATGTCCATCGTGTGTCGCCGAACAGCACATGGACGATGCACAAGACAGAAATGTCATCAAGATCGTTCAAGACAGGTATACCATACGCACAGGTCGCGACAATGGTATTCAGCGCCATGACCTGGCAAATTGCATCTGCTGTGCTCGAGTACGACATGTCCACCTGTACCACCCCAGATACCCTCTATCTCCCGTCTCCGACCCTGCCAAACGAGGCAAGCGACCACGTCATGGTCTGCTCGAGGAATAGCGACGTTCATACCAGCCCTCCAAAGAGGGAGTGGTTCCCTAGTCATCTCATATCTTCAGCCCTTCTGCCGGCGTCTAGACCAGGCGAACACTAATTACAAGCCAGACCCAAGTCACACAGACACAGCAGAGCGAGAGTCCAGCGGAACGGGTTCCCCGACGCCAACGCCAGTGGTAGCTGCATCGCGCGCCAGGAAAGTTCCTCGCGGTACGGGACCATATAGGAGCATTTGCCTTCCGAGTGTTGATGTGATGGCACCACCGACGTACAACTTGTGATGGCTAGTGGCCTTCGGCAGGGAGTTGACGGAGGGTGCCCAACTGATCACACGGAATCAGCCTGTTCATCCGGGCTTGTTTGCGCCCGTGAAGCCCAGGTGCGTTGTCACTTGCTTTACCCGCGGCCCGATCCCGCCCGGGATGGTCAAGATGAGAAATGATGCATCTAACAGCCCCCCCCTGGCGCTGCGCACACCGAAACCGGTCCATCCCGTGCTGACTGTTCACCGGTCTCAACATCTGGCCTAGTGACCTCCAGGATGGTCGTGTTACATATACAATCAAATGTGCCAATGCTACAAGGCATGTGAGAGGATCCTTTTCGCTGGCCAGCAGAGCCTAGGTGCTGGGGGGGAGACTTGTGTCCAGCATCATAAGGAGCTTATCTGACTTGGAAATTGCATGATTTCGCACGTCATGGGGGTGCAGTCCCGCGAAGGCCTCCGGCCGGCCCAAGGCGGCAGCCGGGGGAGTGGGTTCCGACCTCGCGACGCCGTATCTGGTCAGCCGGCATACGGTCGAGGTCGAGTCCGTCACCATGCTGCTTACATGTGGGAATGTTACATGTGGGAATGTTCTTCTGGCGAGCGCGACGCCGTGGACAACGTGCCATGTCTCGCTTGTCATGACCAGGCTGCCCCCGTTGCACCATGTAGGCCACTAAACATCCACCAAGCATCCACCAAGGCGGCAGCCCCCACGTCTTCTTTGCGTGGACGCCTTGCCTGTGAGCTCGGGTGAAACAAACAAGCATCTACGAGGCCACGTTGGGGCCGAGTGACGTTGGCAGGAAGAGCCAATCGAGGTCCAGACTTGCGGAAGTGTTGCAGGCTATGTCGACTGGACTATCGGTGTGCTACCATGGCCCCTCAACTTCAAGTCGGTGAACGACGTACGACGAGGTTGACTCGTCTTGCGAGGGCCCGTGTTTGGCGCGCCACGCGAAATTTATTTTCTTGCCATGGCGATCTCTCTCGAAGGATATTTCTCTCGAGTGATCATGTGAGAAATATGTGTCACAAAGGCAAAGCTTGTTGAGGTTAAGACATTTCAAGTGGCACCTCCACAGCAGTCGAAGTGGGGGATTGCGGGGGGTTGGTTTGTTGCGTGCACATGAGGGCAGGGCAAGGCAAGGCAACATGCAAGAAGTCATGTCAAGCGCCTAGGACAGTAGCGAGGCCAGATGGGAGGAATGGGTACCTTGTGGACCTTGAGGAGGAATTGGTCGCACCTGCAGCTCGGAGGCTCCTCGACATGACCATGCCAGACCCTCGGTAACGCATTCGCCGACGTCTGGAGGTGCCTTGCCTTGTACGTGGAGTTCTGGATAAGGTACCGAGGAGAGTATTGGCGTGCTCACGGGGTTGGACCTACTACAAGGTCCATCACGCGATGGGTCATATTTATACGAACCAGTGTAGACTGAAACGAAATGACAAGGTATGCCCACAATGGCTCTCAGGAAAGTCGAGAGAAGTGAAGGCAGGGGATTCGACGCCGGAGAGAATTTATCCCAGAGACACGTCGCGATGCTGACCCTCCAGCCTTGGAGCTTGCGGGCTG